CGAGCCCCGCCCCCGGGCATCAACTGGCGGGCGCCGGAGCTCCTTGTTCTCGCGCCTGGCCTCGCTCTCCCCCCCCCCTCTCTCTCTCTCTCTCTCTCGCTCTGCCCATGGGCCCCGCACGGTCTCTTTCCGGCGGAGCACAACCCGGCTGCCCACCCCTCCCCGGGTCCTGAGTACCGGTGTGGGGCCGCGATGTTCCGTCGCCCGAGGTGCCACGCCCGCCCGCCCCCACTTCCGGGGAACACCATCCCACCTCGAGGCGACGACGCCGCCCCCGCCCCCGCCCCCCCCCCCGGCCCTATAAAAGCCACCCCTGCCCAGCACCATGGGCAGGCCCAGTCCCCTCCAACACACCCCCCGCCCGTTCGCGCCTTCGTCTCCTCCCCGCTCCCTCCCCGCCAGCGCAACATCCCCCCCCCTCCTTCCCAACAGCGCCAGTCACCATGATCAAGGCCACCTTCGTCCTCGCTTTCTTCGCCATCATCGCCGTGGCCTCGGCCGCGCCGGTGGCCGACATCGCCCTCGACACCGATGAGGCCGGCGTCATGGTCAACTCCGCCACCAACCCCTGCGAGCGGGACCTCAAGGAGTTCGCTCGCCTCATCAGCGACGAGAACACCCGTTGCACGCACTCGGCCCTCGATGCCGCGGCCTACGTCGGCATGTGCACCGTGGCCGCCGTCAACAAGTTCGACGGGAAGACCGTCAACACCGCCACTGCCTTCGAGGACTGCTCCCATGTCCTGGTCAACCACCAGGCCTGGTGCGCCAGGCACGAGCCGGACTCCAACGCCGCCAAGGCCGACCTCTCCAACTACAGCTGCCCCACGCGCTACCAGACCACCTCCGGCAACACCAAGTTCCCGAAGAAGGGCTGCGACAACATCGCCCTCGACAAGCTCCGCGCCCGCTTCACCAAGTCCTGCGGCAGCGGCAGCTTCGCCGGCGCCACCCTGGACGCCCTGTGCAACAACAAGAAGTGCATTTCCGCCATCGAGAGCCTCCACGAGTGCAGCATGGACCGCTTCGCCTCGGCCCACAGCGTGTGCGCCCTCCTGGAGAACACCTACTCCTTCAGTGTCTTCTGCCCGGAGGACACCCGCGGCTACAAGGCCTTCGCCGAGCTCGACTGCGAGGTCAAGAACGCCTGGGAGAGCGACAAGGACTTCAAGCGCGTCCGCGAGCCCCCCGCCGCATCCGGCTCCGCCTCCTCCGGCTCCGCCTCCTCCGGCTCCGCCTAAGTGTGAGCGCCCGCGCGTGTCCTTCTCGCGCGTGCTTCGCTCCCCCCTCCCCCCCCCCCCCGCGCGCCGCCCTGTGGCCCTACGCAATCCCTTTTCAGCCGCGGACGAAGGGGGGGGGGGGGGGCCGCGAGAGCCGGCATGTGCACACGCCTCGCTTCCCCCCACCCCCCACTCCCCGTGTGCTGCCTGTTGTGCGCACGCATATCCCGCTCGCTGCTCCCCCCCCGCCCCCCTGCTGTTGTCCCCTCGCCTCCTCTCTCCGGTGTCTGGCCGAGGGGGAGGAATAGCGGGGCGGGGCCACAGAGGAGCGGGCAGGGCCACTGCCGGAGGGCGGCAGTTCCTCGCCCCACCTGCAAGTGATGTGCCTGCCAATAATGTACTTCCACATCCTTTTCTCCGCTTTCCTCCTCCCTTGTGTGCGGGGGGCCAGAGCACCAGACGCGCGGGGAGACACGTGCGTGCATGTGTCTGTGCGTGGCTCTGCGTCTTTTTCTTGGCGGCCAGGATCGTGTCCGGGGCCGGCGGGCGGGCGGGCGGGCGGGCGCCAGGAGGCCTGCCTCATCAGGCGGCGCGGGGAGGGGGCGGGGGGATGGTCTTGCCCCCGTGTGCCGGGGAGTCCTGCAGCCCGGCAAGCACCAGAGGGGCCCCCGGGATGCCGCATGCCGCCCGTGTGCGCCTCGCGTTGGGCTTCCGCTCGGAAAAGGGCCAGGGCCGACGAGCGCACACGAAGCGGAGGGCGCCGCGCGCGCGCCCCACACGGCCCGGGCCAGTGGTGGATCCCCCTGTTTCGCGGGAATGCACCGCCGAGGCGGCCCCTCCCCCCCCGCGCCCCGTTCCCCGGGCCCGGGGGGGGGGGGGGGGGACATTCCTTCGGACCTGGAAATGGCGCACCCATAACTGGGCTTATAACTTGGCCGCGCCTCCCGGGGGGCTCCCTGGCGGCATCACAGCGCTCTCGATCACCGGGCCCCGGCGACGCGCGCCGGACGGCTCTTGCCCCTTTCGATGGGGCGGAGGCTCCCGCGAAAGCGTGCCCGACCTGCCTGCGTTACGGGAAAAAAATAACGCCCCGCCCCTGCCGCCGGCCTGGTCTTCTCTGCCACTCCCCACGGCGGCGCCGGGCTGCCTGACTAAACCCCGCCACCACCCTCCCTCGGCCAGACATCGGCTCGCGAGCGTGGCGACCCCCGTCGGGACGAGGGGAGAAATCCCTCCGCAGCTCGCCCGCCGAAGGACGGCCCTCCCAGCGGGGGGAAAAGCGCCGGCGACCTCCCTGCGCGGCTCCCCGGGCGCCCGGAGGCGGTGCCGCCCGCCGCCCAGCGATGGCCGCCTCGTCCCGGGGCCCGCGCGCGGCCGAAGGGGGGCACGCGTATGCGTCGGCACTCGAGCCCCGGCAAAAGGTCACGCGGCCTTCCCCGATCACGCAGGCGCCCCGTGCCACACATCGCCGGGGGCGCCGCTCGCCGCCGGCTCCGCCCCCGCCAGGAGGCCGCATCAGGTCCGGATTTGCCGTGCACGCGCGTGTGCGCGGCCGGGAGGGGAGGGAGGGCGCTGCCCTGCCGGGACCCTGGCGGGGGATGGTGCGCCCCGCCAGCCGGGCCGGCTGGCGCACAGGCCGACGGCGCCGGGCGGCAGATCGCCCCGCGGCCAGCGGCGCCCGGGTCTCGCGGGAAAGCCGCCCCGCCAGCGCGTCCCACCCCCGCCGCCGGTCCGGGCCGCCCTCCATGGATGGCCGCCTAGACGATGGCCTGCCCCGGGAAACGGCCGGGCGCCGCCCACCGGGGCCGGCGTCGAGGCGCACTTGCCGGCCTGCGCACCCTCAAGTGCGCGGACGCGGGCCGGCCGCCCACACGGCGGACAGGGTATGGTGGCAAAGGTCCGGGACCGCTGTCCCAGCATCAAGGGGCGCCCGCGTCCTCCGGCTCGCCCCCCCGCCCTGGCTCGGCCCCGGCACCGGGGCCCCTCAAGCGAGAGATCCAGTCGCGCCCCGGTGCTCACTGGCCCCCACCGGCCCCCCCCCCCCCCCGCTCGTCACGGCCCTGCCGCAGCGTTTTTTTTTTTCGACGCTCGCGTGCGGCGTGCGCCTCCCCCGCACCCGCGTCCCTGTGCTGCGTCCGGGCCTCCGGAGCTGTCGCCTCCCCGGCCCCGGCGAGTGTGCTCGGCGTGCCGGCGCCCCGGGCACACATGTTTGCCCGACCCGCACCTCGCCCGACAAGGAGGCGCCTGCGGCGTGCGTCGCGGTCGGCGTCCGCCGCGCACTGGCCCGAGGCACCGCGCCCCGGTCTTCACCCCCCTCCCGTCCGCTCGGGGGAGGGGGGCGGTCTGTCTGCGATTCCTCTGGCCCCGCTCGGCTCGTGGCTCGGGGTCTCCTTCGTGTGTGTGTGTGTGTGTGTGTGTGTGTGTGTGTGTGTGTGCCCCGCCACCGGAGTAGGCCCCCGCCCCCCCCCGCCCCCCCGGTTCGTCGGCCGGATGGGTCCCGGCCCGGCGGCGGCATACGCCCCCATCCCGGCCCGGGCACCCGCGGCCCCTTGGCGCCTCATCTGTGGCTC